CTGTATAACTGTCAACTTGGCAACTATTTCCTCATACTCCAATTCATCAAAATCTAAATAGACTTTTTGATCTGATGGAGCTCTAAATTCTTATGGCAATAGAAAAGCCATCTAAATACTAGCCGATGGTTGCCCCCTATCGCTGTTTGCTTAGCACGCCACACTTGAGGTTTGCTAGACGCCTGAGCCTGTTCTAGCTCTTTGTTTCTTAGGCATTGCACTCTTCTTTTTTGGCTTCTTGTTAGACCTCTTGGACACCATTGGCCTTCCGGCCAAACATATTCTTCTTCATTACTCTCTTCTTCATAATCAGCCTAGTTTTGATTGACAACTCGCTTCCCAAGCCGATCATGAACACTCTTATTTTTTAAGCACCGATCCATGTTATTATGATGATACTCATCTCGAGCATGGATAGACCGGTGGTTGGCTTGAGATTGCCAGAACTCCCAATATTGCTCGTTGTATTCCGGACAGTTATTTCTGGTAGGCAATTTCAAACCTTCATTCCAGCAATGTCTGAAGAAAGGACAATTCCAATGTGATTCAGCTTGCTTTCTTTTATACCTTTCTTTTTCCTGCTGACGCTAGTATTCTTGCTCTTCTAACCAATACTGATAATCCCTTTCCTTCTGTCACTGCCATTTGTTCAATAAAATTCAAGATATAACACGCGGCCTTGTCACCCCATCCTTCGACGTCTCTCCCTGCTCATATTGGCTCTTTTGTTGATCACGACGCCTTCTAATTTCTCTATATTCATCAGCCGATATTTGCATCTCGGGATCGACTGTTCTAGTTTGTTTTGATCTAACTGATGTTAGGACTTTAGTCTTCCCTTTGAGCAGCCTAGCATCAACCATGTTCTGATCTCTTGGGAAAGGATTATCATCAACTTTTATTTTTCGAGGCGAATCAAATTTGAGCCTTCCTTGCTGAATAGCCCTCTGTATATGCTGCTGGAAAACTCTGCACTCATTAGTAGAATGAGAAGTGGCGTTGTGAAATTTGTAGAACTTCTTATTCTTCAACTGATCGGGAGGAAACATAATATGATTATCGGGCAACTTGATATGTCCCTTCTTGAGCAAAAATTGAAGAGCTTGTCCGATTTTGTGATGTCAAAGTCATAGCTTTCTTTGACTCCTCTTCCCCAAGGATTTGGCACCATTACTGTCTTCTTACCCCAATTCCATTCGGCTGCAGCAACCTCTTCTTCTTTGTCGTCCTCATAGTCGTCATCGACTGAATATGAATTATAGCCTTCGACTGAATATGAATAGTCGTCCTCTGCGCATATTCTGGAATTAGCTATTGAGCACTGCCACTCATTGAGCCAACTGACCCAAGTTGTCAAATTCTTGTCCTAGAAGCTTCTCTCTCCACGTTGGCAACATTCCTTGAATGGCCAAAGCAACAAGTTGATCATCGGTCAAGTTCAATGAGAAGCACAAATTTCTAGTCTCTCGAAACCTCTGAAGAAACTTGGTGCCCGATTCATTAGTTCTCTGCCTAATGGTTGTCAGATCGGTAATTTTCTTTTCTCCAGTCCTAGTATAAAAATATGTATGAAACTTCTTCTCTAGGTCAGCCCAATTGGCAATGGAGTTAACTGGCAGTGATGAAAACCAAGTGAAGGCTGGCCCCGACAGAGACAAAGAGAAGAAACGAACTCGATGGGCCTCTTCAATGGATGCTTCGCCCAACTGTGTAAGAAACCGACTGACATGTTCTATTGTGCTTGTGCTATCTTGGCCAGTGAACTTAGCAAACTCCGGGAGCCTATAATTCGCTGGAAGAGTGACCAAATCATACCATTCTGGATATGGGCATTTGTACGAGAAGGTCTGCCCTTTTGGCTTCAAACCGAACTGATTCTTCATCATCTCGATCACTCTAAGCAACAACTCATCAGCATTTGAATTTGAATCTCTCTGCAATTACTGACCCATCTGTGGATTAAAATTTTGAGTACCTTAATACCCCGGATTTGAAATCATGTGAAGGGTGTTGTAATCTATGCCATAATGATACCCTTGTGGGATCTCTATCTGTTGGGTCCTTTGCTGGTTTGCTGCTTGAAGTCTCTGGTTGTAGATGTTAGGATCTATATCTCTACGAATCCTTTGAATTGATGGCGCTATTTTTGGAGCCGACGATGGTATCTGGCCTGATATGCCAAAATTAACCATTTGATTTCGAACTTGCCCCGTCGGCTATTGCACATGCTATTCTGATGATTTAGGATTATACTATATCTGATTAGTAGTAGCACCCTGAACTTGCTCAGCTGAGCTCTGAACCACCTGAGACATCATCATTACCAGCTGGTGCTGTTTCCTGATGGCTAGTACCGGCTTGATTAGTCCCCTGAGTCGACGGATGTGGAATGTTGTAATAAGCCAGCCCAACCTGATCAATTGGAAACCCATGAAACACCTCTTTCATGGTGTTGTGGAATGTGTTAAAGAAAACTTCATTATGATTCAACATGGCATCATGAACAGACTTGTTTACAGCTTCTACGAAGAAACGCCTGTCTTCAGCTTCATCTGCATATGTCTGCCCATGCAACAGAACTCTCGGTAGTGGATATTTCTGAACAATTGTATTGTCACATGTCTTGGTGTAGGACAACAAACACTTGTTCTGAAATTCTTCTATAGCTTTATTGATGACATCTTTATCTCCATCAGGTAGGTCTTCATAAGGCACCATAAGGATGTCATTGTTGTTGTAAGCCGCCATGACGATTGTGGGGTCCCACTGGGCATGCCAAAATGTGTGTCGGCATGAAAAATGCATCGACACACAGCAAGCTGGAAGGATCTGCTTGATGGAGCTGGAGATCTGCTTGGCTTCAACGCAGGGGTAACTGATCCTGCGAATTCCTCTTGAGACATGCCAGTTAATTTGACCCTGCAATTGACAAGGAGAGAAAGTTTATCAGTAATTTAAGGTGGAACATGCCGGTCTTTGCCCAAATAGTTCCAAGTGTGACGCTTTGGGAGCAGCCAGACGGGAAAATCAACTAAATAGCCGATACGCACAGAAATCGGCTGTTACGGACAGTAAAGCTTATGGATCGCAATTGGTTTTATGTTGATAAGTACAATGCCCGCAAACGTAAATGAGATCATTAGCTAGGTGGATATTACCAGTATGAATCGTTGAGCTGATGAATCTAATCAGGAAAAGATATAGCATGCAAACAAATCGACTGTGTAATACCAATGGATCTACAAACACTCTGAATCTAATCTATTACCATCAATAGTGAGGTTTGACCGGATCGATGACAGCTATGATGATTATAAAAAACTAAAACCATAGAATCCATAGAACCATCTATACTTTGACAGGATTTCCGAAAGACATGCTATACGTGAAGGCTTAGGCGAATCGGCGGAAATAGCCGATTCAGGTAAAAGGGACTACAGTGTGTGAACAATCGACTATTTCACATGAACAAACCCATGGACTCATTAGACTTAACCTTGCTATCTCTAACAGTGGGGTTCGACCGGATCGATGCAGCCGTGAAAAAGACAACGACTCAAACCCTTAAAGTACACATATCTATTCACGCTTAACAGAATCATGGACACACACTGTAGGCGTTAACGCATAGGCGATCGGCTATTTAGCCGATGCAGGCATAGCAAACAGCTAAGGTCATGCCTAATCAAGAACAAATCTACTAACTAGCATCCTCTAATCTATAGTGCCATCAGTGGGGATCGACCGGATTGTTACAGCCATAATGGCGAACTATGAACTAGATTTAGCTAGCCAGCAAACCTTTTCAAGATTATACATGCCTTAACCACGTACTATGCATGATCAAGATCAAAATAGAACGGCCAATGAAACATAACCCGTCGCTCAGAGTAAGAAACATCGTGTTGTAATAAAGCGAATAACGGACTGAAAGGATATAAGGCCGATCTAAATCGATCTTGACCGGGCAGATTGATGTTGCTGCAAACTAATAACAATGAAAACATCAACAAGATCGGTAACTTAATGAATCTACCCGAAGGACGCCACCCTTAGATAGAGCCGATAACTTGACCTTAATCTAGTTTGAGTAGTGGAGGTCGACCAGATCGATGTAGCCATACTTGAACTAGATAAGAGTCGATAACTAGCTTATACTAGAGTTCACAGTGGAGGTCGACCGGATCGATGTAGCCATACAAACCAAAGTATAAGCTATGACGGTACTTACAGACAAACCAGAGGTCGGTTGGATCGATGCATCCCTGCTTGCTGAAGAACTCGCTGAGATCTACTCTACTCCTACTCCTAAGGGTTGGCCGAAGCCGAAAAAAGGTAAATTGTATTTGATTGATTGAATCATCTTTTACAATGGCCGGGATCCAATATTTATACCCGGGGCCTAAACATGAATCCTACTCAAGTATGACTCATTACAATCTTTGGTATAAAAGAAAACATTTCTAACTAAAGATAACTTGGACCCTAATCTTTTCCTTTTTGTAGAGTCCGATATGTATTTCCCGACGCCAACCATAGCTCATTATCGTTATCTGCTAACGTCATTCAAAGAGAGCCGATTTTAGTGTCACATCTGAATCAGCTGATATCGATCCTTATGCAATTGATTCCTTGATCGATGCAATTTTGGAAGCATCGAGTTCCCGCATTTCTCTTCCCAAATTTTGGTGTAAACCCTTTGCTTGCCCTGTCCGCCTTTCAGGAAGCCTACTTGGCGATGAACAATACTTTGAAGGTCGAGTAAACTATTCGAAGGATCGGTAATTCATTCCTCTTTTTTATGTTGTAGAGTACAAGTCCATAACTGGTCTTTTTAGATTAGACCAAAACAACTATCGGGGAAATCCTCAACGTGATAAAATACTATGAGATGAAAGATGCAAATGGCAAGTCCTCAATGTGGACGATCCCCAGGTATACTTTTGCTCTTCTGGGAAATTAGATGGCAAATAAGCATTCGTCAGGAAGGAGGGACATACTTTGCTTTGGCTAAGGATGGGGATCAGGAATTTCAAAATCCTACTCTTTATCATAGCCATCCCTTAGATTATATATAATGAAGAAGAAAGAAGTGATTCCTCGAGTAGATTTATGTTTCTATTGAATGAATAAATATGATATGAGATGGAGGGTCACACTTACGATGGCACGCACTACACTTCGAGAGGAAGGGGTCTTCGGTTCGCATTCTTTTCATCGTCGACAACAGTTCCTAGTAGTAGTTGTTTCTCAAGCAGTAGTTCTGGAATATCTCTTGTTTGGATGAGAGGTTTGAGGAAGGTTAGGAATGACTAGAACTAGTAAGGATAGGGAAATAGAATTGGATCATATCACATGACTTATTCCATTTATACTCTATAGGATCTTACGGAGCCTGTTCATGGATGACATGGTTGGGGTATGATCATAGAAAATATTCTCCTCGAGTGTCGCCAGCATCACCCACCTATGATGGCACGGGGAAAGAAGCATGATATTTCCCAGGAAGATGAACTGACTTCTGGATTAGCGGGACTAGGGAACCGGACATAGAAAGCCTTTTCTCTCGGTAGGTCGGTCAGTATGTCCTTCCCTATCCTACCAGCATGAAATGATAGATGGTGGAGCCACACATTGGCCGATGTCTTGAGCAGCAAATAATGGTTTATTGGGCAGCGAGGAGAGGGTCAAAAGAGGTAGGGACTGGTCTCGCTGCTAAGGGAGAAGGAGACCTCTGTCGCAGCAAGCTAAAGAACCCACTTTAGATCGTCGATTTCAGGTAAGGCACTCGATCAAGCCTATACATCTGGGAATTTTGCTCCAAACCAAAGATGACTTGCTTTGCTGCATTTCTTGGGCCGGGGCTTTACTTTATTTTTTTGGTGAAAGAAAGGCCATATGATCTACTTTCTGGTGCCGGTCCCTTCACAAAGATAGCCCCTTCTTGCTCTTATTCTTATTCGGTGGAATACAATAGGGGGTAGACCTACCTTGTTTTGTTGACTTATTGCTTTCCAGCAAAGCGTGCCGGCCTATCTCTAAAGCACCAAACTTCCACATTTTAGGAGATGCACTATCTTCCCTTAAAGAGCCAACTTATTGAATAGAGCTATCACTCCTTACCTTATCTAAGACCCCTTCGGGATATCTTTTGAAAACCTTTTCTCTGAAAAGAATAGATTGATCACTTGCCCGCTCGATTAAAGAAAGTGGGATCTAGCCTTGCATTTTTGAGATAGGGCTCCCTCACAGCATTCTTGCTCTTGCATTTGAAAGTCAAATCGGGATACAAAAGAACTTTTCCATAGATAGGTGTACTATGGATGAATTACCACCTCCTTGGAGGAGTGAATGCAAGGACCACTAAAAAATGGATACTTTACCAAAAAGCCTTTGCTTCTTCTTTCAATTGGATAGAAGCTCATACTCCACTTCAACAACTGGTTTGGTGCTGATGTGTCCAAATCCCATGCTCCTACGCCGGGTTGATTGATGTGTCAAAGACTAATGCTCCTTCGAAGGATTTGATAGGTAAAGCTGTGGCCCAAGAACCCACTACATCTAAGCCCAAGTCCAAACTAGACCCAAGGTTGGCGAGGCTACCTTCTGATCCTTCAATGAAAGATTCTATCAGCACCTCTGATTCGGATAAGCAGTGTAGAAGATCTAGGAGCAAGCTGCCTTTCTCACTGGAAAAGGGGCATACTAGAGTTTAGGGCTGGAGCAGAACCACCATGTGCTGCACGCGGCTTAGGAAGTACTTGGGTCGGTAAAGGAAGGAGACTGGAGTAGATTAGTGGAGAAATTATTTGGCTTAACCACAACCTAGGAAGTAGCATTCTGCCAGGAACCTTCGAGGGAGGATAGGGATGCCAAGGCATCCGGAGCTACCGTAACTTGGGCTCATCATGCTATACTTGTGGGGAAGGAAAAATGAGCAGTTTACGCTTTAGTAGCAACCGTTTTACTGGCTCTAGTATCCACTGGCTTTCAAGGAATGGAATATTACCAAGCACCCTCCATGTGATTATAGGTACTCTTTTCTTGATCGTATGTGGTATTCACCAATATCTTGGTCATCTGACCAAGAAGCATCATGTTGGCTTTGAAGCAGCTGCATGGTACGGGCATTTTGTAGACATGGTTCGGTTATTCCCATTTGTCTCTTGAATGAATTAATTGTCCGAAACCCTACTTGTGAATGAATGTCTCCTGTCCTTTGGCATCCTAGTGAAGAAGTTGACTTCCGAATGAAGCGAACTCTGAATAAGGTTTTCAGATCGACCAAAAAATATATTATTTATTGTAAGTGAACGGAGAAAAAAATCCAAAGTCTTTTAAATAGGACGGACAGGCTGCTTACTAAATAAAAGAAAGCACGGCCTGGTTTATGGGAATCGTAAATAGACGAAGTGGTGTTTTTTCCTTTCCTTGAGGATCTATGCTTTTCATGGCTCTCTTTCTAACGTGGATGACACAAATAGTGGATCAGTTTCTTAATAGCCTTTTCTAAGTGCTTTTCATTGCCTTCTTCTTATCTTTATGTACCCAGGAAAAAGAGAAGAATCTTCACCATTACCATCACTAGTATCACCTCCAATGGTTGGCGTCCCTTTAATTGTCATTTAGTAGTAGATAGGTTTGTTGAGGACGCTCGCAAGTGAGGACCTCACCCCTCCTTCCTCATTTATTGAGAAGGGAAAAAGACAATGTTCATTGCTTCCTCAAAACAAGAGTTCCATGGGCGTCATAAACCTCTTTAAGCAAGGCAAGGCGATTCATGAAGGATTCCTCTCCTCTAGTTGGTCTATTAGACTATTATTACTATAAGGTCCCCTAAAACAGGCATACCCATAAAGGAAAGGCAAGGGAAAATGGACGGAGATTGCTCAGTGGTCTCCTCTCCTAGTCGAGTATTTATGTTCTTTTCTTTTATTTGGGTTAAGAACAGTAGTCGGACATTCCACTTTGTTAAGTTCATTCACAGCTTTGTAGGGCAAGTTCACCATCTCTCTAAGAAAGAGGAGCGTAAGAAAAGGAGGTTCTTTTCCCATCTCTTTTTGGCAATGGGTTAAGGAATTTAGGGCTGGAAGAGATCTAAGAGTGGATTGGGCAGCATTAATGGCATGAGCACAACTGTGATCTTGATCTCCTATCCGCCTTGCCTTTCTTCGAAATGACACTCTCTTTTCTAAGTGCGCTCTTTTATTTTGTAGTACCTATTAGTAGAAGAGCACTATTCTTCTTTAGTTAGGTAGTTCTCCCCCCTCTATGAGACCATAAGACCCCGGTGGAATCGAAGGCCCGCTTACTAATAGGCAAGAGGGGACCCTTTCTCGCCCAGCCCTACCTACATCAGTGAAGCTGGAACCGAGGAAGACAATGTTGAACACACATGAAAATGAAGGTATGGGACGGCCAGTTCACCACGGAAAGCGAATTCGATCCTTTAGTAGTCTTCTTTGTTCTAAAAATGCGTAGTGGAAAGGGATGCTAGTCGGCTTTGGCGAAGTTGTAGGCCCCAATAAATCAGATCAAGAGTGATTCCTCATCTATCCTATCAGGGGCCAAGTCGACTTCTTCCGCTTTTGGGGATTCCACTAATTGATGGAAGGAAGTGGATGCGGCAGGATTGGCCCCAATTGAATCACTAGTAGAAGAGATCCACGTGCAGAGACTGTTAGGGAGATGCAGATGGAGGTTTGGATTGCTGCTAGAAGGGCTTACGACGAATAGATTGTTGGAATGGGTTGTGAAAGGGAACGGCAGAAGCTACTGACATGGGGAAAGAAGAAGACCAGGGACTGCATGAAAAAATAAATATCCCCGATAAGAAAGGACGACCTGCAGAAGGAAAGTCAGTCTCATTCGTTCCTGCCGCCCTAAGGAATTTCATAAGCAAGGTAAGATGAAGTAGTGATCCGGGCGGGCATGCAAGGAGTAATTAAGTCTAAAAACCATAAACCCCTAATTTATCGTATTTAGTCAAGTTAGAGCCTCGAGTGAATGAAGCACAACTCTTGCAAAACTATTATCGTCACTAGCTAATCTAGTTGAGTTGGCGTAATCTCTAGGTTGGGAAGCCTATCTTCTTTCTTTGTATTGAGACCAGCAAGAGCAAAGAAAGCAATAAATAGAATAGAAGTTCCTTAGTCAAGAAAGTATAGCCTAAGAAGGCAATTATGACAACACCTCAAAAGGATCCTATCGAAAGATATTTTCTATTCCTAGGACTAGTACACGTACGCTATTGATATTCCTTGCGCAAGAGCTATTCCTATCCTTTCATCAAAAGCTTCCTATCGGTTCTCGGGATTCAAAGCGTCCCTTTAGCTAATTTTGCTCTTAATACAGGATCATTTAAGTCAGGTTTCTTTGTTATTGGGATAGGTGAATTCTTTAGGATCCATCCCCCAAAGGAACCGGACATGAGAATTTTTCATCATCCGGCTCGAGCAAGAATGAAAGAAATAAGACTGTGGAGGATCCACAATAGAATAGGGTATATAATGACTCAATGACTCAAGGTAAGAAAAGCTTTATCAAATTATCTTTTCTAAAGTTGCGCCTATAACTACTCATTGAAAAGAATCCTATTCTTATGCTTAAATGCTCAATATCCAAGTGGGCTTACAAATTTGTTCATGATCAATTGCTTTGTGGATTGTCTCTTGATTAGTTGGTGTTTATCCCCTCGATATCGCAAGTTTCTTATGTCGAAACAAAGTATTTACTTGTTACTAATAAAAAATCAAAAAGTTTAGCCTGCGTTCTTCCTTAGATCCCTTCTTTTAGTCGGATAGTATTGCGGATCAAAATCGATGCAAAGAAAATGAATGCATTTCCATACTATATTAAAAAGTAAGTGTAATAAAAATAGAATTGGATCATATCACATGACTTATTCCATTTATACTCTATAGGATCTTACGGAGCCTGTTCATGGATGACATGGTTGGGGTATGATCATAGAAAATATTCTCCTCGAGTGAACCAGCCTATCCTTCCTAGATAGGGGACTTACGTGTTGATTGGATGCGGAGACACCTTTGGTCATGAATTCTAATGTGGCAGATCCAATTCTCTATCTACATGGCCAAATCAATAATTCAAGTCACACAATGGATAATCTTTCTATTCTCCAGGCAGCTTATCAAGATCTGCGGGAGAATGGGGAAGGATCCATCTTCTTTTTGGAGGTGGTTTTGCACAACCAGGATTACCTAGATGCACAGACCACTTCCAGGAGGTGCCATGAATTGGCGCAAAGGATCCTATGGGATGGAATCACCCATAGCCGTGCTCAGCTCGAAAGGGCTGAGTATGAGCATGCGCTACCCTAGGAATGAATGAACAGAGCTATCACCGTGTTTGGCCGGATCTTCCAATCTTTTTAGAAAACCAGTTCACTCTGTGCCCCACCCCGTCATCAGTCCTGTGTTGCCTATGCTTGCGCCCCAAAACGGTTGCTGACTTTGTACAACTTTGTAGGGCGCGCGCTACGGCAACATAGCTTACGCTTGCTGCTTGCTGGTTTTTCCATCATCCAATCCACAACAAATCGAATGAAACCGCTTCAAATTTCTTTTGATGAAAACCCTTGTTCCGCTCCCGCTCGCCGCTACTAACGGGTCTCGGTTGATTTTTCTTCCTTTAGCTACTCAGATGTTTTAGTTCGCTAAGTTTGAAAAGTCCAAAGAGCGCAGACTAGCCACGGAGCTTGGATACATTTCCCGATCGGAGATCCATGGATCACAGATGCTCTCTCCCCATGGCCTTTCGCCTCAGAAAGTCTTGCCAATGGCAAAATGAAATACTGGAATTGAAGCGAAAATGAAATCAATTCATTTGTCATCGTCCGTGTCACCTGCCAAAGAAAAAATACATATTATAGTTTCCGAACATGGGCGTAGGCCATCATCCTTAGTACATATAGACTGATTGGGTGCTAAGATCCAAAGTCGAGAGGGAAACAACCCAGATCGTACGCTAAGGTCCATAAGCAATCACTTAGTGGAAAAGGAAGTGATCCAGCAATGACAACCAGGAGGTGGGCCTTCTTTGGCAACTTAGCTATTCTTTGGCAACAGAGCTATTGCAATAGAGAAATCGAGGGAAATAGGCTTAACCTACAGAGAGGTTCTAGCTATGATACTGATTCTCTGGATTATCCCTTGACTAGGACAAGGAACGGCGCTTAGCTACATTCCAGAAATGATCGATAGCTCGGATTCGAACGTCGATACTTCCACATATTATGGGTAACGTAGGAGACATCCCTATTTTCACCCGGGGATCTTAATTACCACTCTTAGCTTTCAATTCGCCTCTGACCATCAAATTAAATGTGAATAACCCGTCCTCCTCTCTTTGAAACAAGGGGCGCTTCTGGTTCTGTGCGTGCTTCAAACAATTTTGTCTTCTCCATATTACCATATCTCTAGAGTCAATAATTTTCTATGAGGAACTACTAAACTCAATCACTTGCTGCCGTTACTCAACAATTTTATGTGATCTTGGACAATAAGGAAGGCTGATTGGTCTATACTTTGATTCTGTTAATGGAGTACTGTAGAAGAGTTCTCCCAACCCAAGTATCTTCGGTTTCAGTTCTCTCTCTCTTTTTGACCTGCTACTTTGCTGTTGTTTTGGCCTTTCAAGGGAGTTTCTCTTCGGGCAAGGGTTGTTGAATTTATGAATGAGTAAGACCGAAGAAGATCTTATGCGAATTAATAGTTTTCGTATGGAAGATGGAAAACTGATATGGGACACTCTAGAGAAGCATCTCCCAATTGATTTACCTAAGAACAAGTTCTCGCTTTAAATCATTGCAATTTTTTCCTCTTCTTTTTTGAGTTAGAATAAAAAGAAAAAGAAAGCAATTTTGCATCTTTGGCACAATCTATATTTTCGCGAAATGGATCATAATAAAATAGATTTTAGGTATCTACGCGTAAAGGCATGATTAGTTCCACAAATCTCACTGCACTGACCATAGTAAACTCCTCGTTGTACCGAGATGGAGGTAAGATTTGAACGACCAGGTACAACATCACATTTGACACCTGAGGAAGGTACAGCCCAACTATGAGGTACATCAGCTGGTGTTACAATCATATGTAGATGAGTTTTGGCTGGTACAACCACTCTATTGTCAACTTCTAATAAACGTGATTGACCCAATTCTGGATCATCTTCTGGAATCGTATAACTGTCAAAAGTGAGTGACTGTTCATCGGAACTGTTATAGTCCGAGTACTCATAAGGTTGGGTCGACGCCCGCCTCCCCCCATGGAAGAACTCCTTCTCATATGATGCAGGGCAATAAGACCAACTGCCCGCCCTACCTATTGAGTAGAAAGCTTATAAATATAAGCATAAACAAATTCCTAGCCGAGCCCTATACTTACCTGCTTGTACGGTCAATGCCCTAGTAGACATCAACTTGTTCATAAACTCCAGCCTTATCTACGCTGCTTTACCCGACCCACTGAACACCCACACAATCTTGATTTGACACAGCAACACTTTCCACCTCTCTTCCTTCCCTTGGATCAAATAGGAAATCCTCACTTTTCCAAGACAAAAGAGAAGCAAGCAACGGATTGAGCAACTAGCGCGAAAGCCGTTGCGCTAACGCGCATCCTCTTGCTTGATTTTATACGATTTTCGTCCAACTAAGTAGAAAAGGACAGACGAGTGTGGCTACACGTGGTATAGGGTTGCTCGTCTCGCCGTAAGTTATTGACCAGTACCAAATGTGACAACTTTCAATTCAAGTTACAAAACCATGAATTTGAAACATAAGACTAAATTCCAAAATCCATTTCGTCGCCCAGTAGCTACGACCGTTTTTTTAATCGGTACTGCAGTAGCTCTTTGGTTAGGCTTCTCGAACAGGAATCACAGATGTAACTCATGCTCTTGTTCTTTTTTTTTTACTCTGTTTTTTTCGCAAGATGGATGGACAAGAAAGGGTAGTTTTCAATCACACCGAACTGTTTGCTTCTTCTTAACTGAGAACCCAACCCTGACTTAAGTGAATAGTGCAAGCATCAGCCATCAGCTTCATTCCTAATTATTTTAGCTGAAATTAGTGTAACAGCCTTGTACCTGCTGCTGGAGGATCTTCTCTCTATGGATTCCAGAGAAATGGAAATTACCATTCTATACCCCCTTCCCTAGCTTAAGCCCTATAGACCAGTGTAGTTAGACTCCCTGCAGTAGCGGTGGGGGAGCAAGTATACGGCGGCAACCGAGTAGTAGTAAACACAAGTTTCTGAACCGTGGGAACATGAGCAAGTACATGTTTGAGGAGATAGGGTAAGGTGTCTTGTAAGAGAAGGGAGTCTGTTTCAAGTAATCTGCGTATGGCTAGTGACATGAAGAAGCTGTGGTTTATCAAGGAGAGCTTTGTCGGAAGGGTTTGTTGTGATGTTAAGTTCTGTATTGAATGGCTGTTCAGGGCAGTGTGTTGTTACAGTTCCTCGTGAGCTCGGAGATTTCTCCCACTTGGCCCGATGATGTCTGGGACAGCCCGCTCAGGGACTCCTCTATGGCTCGGAGCTGGACGCCTGGCCCAAAAACAATCTCGTCCTGGGCCGCTGAGGCGTGGTTGGGCTGCTTGTTTCCGGCCCATAAGCTTGACAGGCACATAGGTGGGGGAAGCGGGAGCAGCACCGGCGTTGTCGGGGGAGTAGCAGTGGCCAGCCCTTGGCCCGCCGGCGGCATAGGTGGCCTCCAGCCACATTGGGTCGTCGCGGCTGCAAGGTGGGCATCTTGGGGGGATGTCCAGGAGTGGTAGTCAGCTAGGGGGTCAGGGCTCACCGTGAAGTTGGGGAAGCAGTCGCGTGCGTCGCGGCGAACCGGTGACCGCGAACGGTGGCGCTCCCAGTCCTCCGATGCGTGGGGGAGGATGTCACGAGCCCTCACAGTCCTCTGCGGCGAACGACTGGAGGCTCATCCCCGCTCCAACGACTCCATCTCCGGCGGCCCTGCAGCCCGGCGGTAGGGGTGCGGTGAGCGGGACTGCACGCGCACCGAGCGGTCCGAGGCGCAGCCTGGGAACAGCTGCCGCACCCGTGTGCTTCGCGGTACCTCATGGTGGCGGCGCGGGCCGTTGTGGTCGTTGTCGGGGTCGCGGTCGTGACGCGGCAGCTGGGTCACCAGTGGGCTGCACGCGCCAGTGCGCGGTGGGCGCGCCTGTGCAGGCTGACGGCCGTCCAGGACCCCCCGCGGCCCAGTCGAATGGGACGAAAGTCGGCGCCGAACTCCCGTTCTCCGAGGAGGTCCCAGAGCTCGACGTTCTAGGAGTCCGCGGCGTCCAGTCCTCGTACCCCACCAGGTGGATCAGGATGACCTTGTCGCTGAATTTACCCACCGGCGGCGTGGATGGGATGCGGGCAGGGGATGGCAGGTTGAGGATGTCGAGTGCCTGTCCAGCCTTCGCCGCGAAGTACCAGTACTCCATGGCCTTCGGAAGGACGTCTGCGCTCTCCATCCAAACCCAGCAGGTGAGGAACTGCGAGTCTCTCGACTCCCTCGACGCGGAGTGACTGTCGAGCCTGTCGAAGATGCACGCGTCGCCCAGGATCAGCTTGACGCCGTCTTCATTCCACGCCTCCAGCAGGACGTTCTCCATGGTCACCTTGACGTGGTACCACCAGGTTGTCTCAGTGGCACCACGGCCTGATGGACAGTGGTGAGCTGCCGATGTTGATGGACCTCTTGTAGATGGACCTGTCCCTTTCAGGCGCGAACTTGAAGTCCGCAAGGAAGGAGGCAGAGGTGAGTCTGGTGACGCGGAAGTTGTACCGCGGCACCTGCAGTTGCACGGCCAGGGCATAGGACACCTCCATGGTGGTGGGGGAGTACCCATCCGGCTGCACCGTGATGATCACAGCATGTACCAGAAGGTGACCAGCTTCAGCGGCCATGGACTCCGAGGCGACAACAGCGACGCGGCCCATCACGGGGCGGCTGGCGGCATGCCCAGGCACGCGCTCCATCTTGGTAGCCTGCGGCGGGTCGCTTGGAGGAGGTGGTGGATTTGGTGGGCAGAGCTCTGGGAACACGAGACGGCTGTGGATGCTCCCGGCCGGAAAGACTAGCTAGGATCGGAGCTTGTCGGAGATGGGTTGTTGGCGGCGGCGGCGGGAGGGGCAGAGTTTGGAGATGTGTCCGATGCCTCTGCACTGGAGGCAGCGGATTGGGTCTCTGCACTGAGCTACTTGGTGGTCGAGGCCGAGGCAGCGAAAGCACCGGCCGGCGAGGTGCTTTTTATAGCCGTCGCGGTCCGCCATGGGATGCCCCGGAGCGGGGTGCTCTTCCATGCGGCGTGGCTTCCCGGAGTTCGCCGCTTGCAGGTCTGGATCTTTGCACCACCAGTGCTTTTTCCTTGAGACCTGCCAATTTGGTGAAAGGGGATCCCCATCCTGAGCATTTACGCCGGAGCTCTCACCCCGCTCCCAGCAGCTGGCAGAGGCAGAGTAAATGGCCTTCCCCTTTTGGTTGGCCGGCGCCTTGGATCGGAGGGTCCTCTGCGCCATTGGCACCGCTGTGGCAAGGTTCGTCAGCTCAATGCGCCTCCACACCGTCTTCCGTCGGCCAGCAGGCGGCGTCGGCGCCCTCGGAGGCCGCACCACGATCGATTTGAGCCTGGTTGGCGCCTGCACTTCGGACGGGGCATTAGCTCCCCGCACTGGAGGGGGGGCGTGCCATCCGAAGCGAATCCGCCCTCCACTCCATTTCCGCCAGATCCGCCTGAACCCAGCGCCAAGACCGCGCCAGATCTCGATCCTGCTGCTGGCTCCGCGTGCTGGCTGTGCAGATTCAGTGATGTAGCTCCACCATCGGAATCAATGGCGGCAGGGGAGCCATCAATGTCGACTGCATCGCCTGATTCGTCCCAGTCGAGCAGCTCCACTTCCTCCACCTCTTCCGGCTCAGCAGCACAGGGGGTAGTGGAAACAGTCGGCTGGGAACCGGTTTGGGGCATGGGATCTGGCTTTGGGCTGGTGGCCGGCGGCGCCAGATGGGGCGCCGGCTGTGAGGGGTGGGGGCTCTCTCCGGGGCGCTCGCTCATTTCCTCTCTTCTAGCTATTCTCGTTCCCGACACCCAAGTCAGCTCCATTCTTTGCCAACGACGCCCGGCGGCGCGGCACGGCTGCAGCTATACAAACTTTACTCTGGAGAACGAACAAACCCCTCCCCTCCTATTGCCACGGAAGCTACGAACTTGCGTTGCCGAAAACTCAAAGAACCAGCGGACACTAGATCGGGGTACTCCAGAAAGCGATCAAGTCCCTTCCTACCAATTCCCCTCGATGTACTTTTTACGGACCATGATTGCAGAAAGAAGATAAACCAAAACAGCAGACTTTGCTACGGATCGGGAGACGACTCGAAGAGAGAGGGGATCGCCGGATCGGGGAGAGACTGAGCACATGCACCTCGTCACTTCGCAATGCTTTCCGCGGGATTTTTTATATATTTTTAACACTTTTTAAACTAATTTTAAATCTAACATTATTTTTTTTAAACTAACACTTTTGACCGCGTCTATTGCCATTGCGCGACGAAACGCCTGTGCCGCGCCATGCAAGGTGGCGCGGTGAGAGGCTGACGTGGCGATGACCGAGGCGCTGACCGGTGACGTGGCAGGGTCTGCCACGCCACTGATCTTGGCGCGACAGTGATGAGCCATAGCCCACGGCGCGGCAGGACCAGATAAATAACGCCCGCGAGCCGCCCTCCCTCCCGCTTGCCCGCGAGCCGCCCGCCCTCCCTGCCCGCAGCGCTGTCACCGCCGTGCCTGCACGTCGCCCACCTCGCCTGGCGCCGCCTGTTGCGTCCGCCGCGCCACGCACGCCGGCGCAACACGGACGCCCTCACTGCAGTTCAACCCTCGTTGAGGTGAAATTTGGTGCCTATTTCTTCATAATCCAAATCCTCATACCTTCACTACCCCTTTATATTTATCGTTAGCCATTAGATTGAGAGATTCTTTTAAAATATACTTTAGCCGTTAATTTATCTTACATTGTATTATTATTTATATATTTTAATTATTTATTTTCTTACAATATATTATTAATTATAGCGAAAACAAATGTCTAATTAAAAGGCACGTGGAATATAAATCTATTTATGTGTTTTTTGTGCACTATATATATATATATGTGTGTGTATATATATATAGCGATAAATTTGGTTGATTGAGTTTTTATGATTTAAATTATTATATGTTTGTTTTCTTCCATGGAAATATTAATTCAAATGATCATTTTACTCAAACATATATTGAAAGCACTATAACCTCCAAAATCATGCACAACATCGTCGATATCGTATTGCTATGAGTCCATCATAGCATTGTGCGAAAAAAGTAGACAGCTTGTATTTTTAGACATATTAGTATAGAGTATAGGACTAAGTATAACACACATGATAGTTCTCAATCAATTCATCTTATACTGGGCTACTCATCCCTAGGTTAAAATTATAATGAGCTGCTCTAGCAGATGCAGACAAGCTATTATAATAATTTAATAAGAAACACATGTGGACAGCAAGTCCTTACATAGAAGTTGCTTCTTTTCCTAGTGAAGCTGTTTAATGGCCCCGTTCGGTTTGCTAAAACTTGGCTGAATGGGCCAAAAAATATTGTTCTGCCTGAATTGTTGTGAGAGAAAAACACTGTTCCGGCTAAAAAACAAGCTAAATAGTGCGGATTATAAGGTAAGCCGAACGGGGGCAATATGTCTGTTAATGTTACTTTGAATATATGCATGTGCTTTTATATTATGTTCGTATTGCATAACAAGTAATTCAAATTTTGCAATGCTACATAATATTAATTTGAATATTGTTAATTTGAATACTCTAACCCTTTGTTTATCAAATTGTAACAGGATGGTTCGTTCCACGCAGCAGCCGTTGTACCCCTTCTTGAGGTAGAGTACGACGACCAGCACCGAGCGCACATCTTGAGTGACACCGACGCACAGGTGGCCTTGCCTCCTTTGAGGCCCCGCACGCACACCAGGGGCGCACCAGTGGAACGAGCGTTATGCGCCGTACATACGGCATGCTGGCTTTCTCGAGCTTGTCCATGTTGTCAACTACGGTCTTCCGCCCCTTGACCCAGCACTACTTACTACAGCTGTAGACAGGTGCGAGTGCCTTCTTTGTACATAAACATTCTTATAACAAATTTGAGGCAAATAACAGTCGTTCTATTCTTATAACAGGTGGAGGCCTGAGACCCACACGTTCCACCTACCTTGCGGTGAGATGACCTGGACCATGCAGGTCGTGAAGGCTATCTTTGGCCTTCGGTAGGGGGGACTTCCAGTGATAGGTATAGTTGACAACGATCACTGGAGGAAGCTGGTGGCTCGGTTCACTGGCTTTCTTCCACCGGACGACGAGGTTTCCAAGAAAAATAAGTGAGCAATTCAAGCCTATTTAATACTTGTATTGCTTTCCTGCAACCATCGGGTCTCATTTTCTTTGGTGAATTTCAGGAAAAGTTACAGTGTTTTGTCGTCCTGGATCACAAAACGCTTTGATTACTTGGACCCACATGCTGATGAGGCTGTGATCGACAGGTTCGCTAGAGTGTGGCTCTGGCACTTCTTTGGTGCTTTCCTCTTCCAGACACCTCGGGCAACACCATCAGCTGGATCTTTCTTGACATACTACGCCAGCCGTGGGAGAACGTAGCGGCGTACAGCTGGGGCAGCGTAGTCCTGGCATGGACGTATCGATAGCTATGCATTACCTGCCGTCGCACCTCAGGATATGCGAACCTTGGGGGTTGCTCCTACCTACTCCAGGTTTGGTGTTTGGAACAATGGCCCATTGGAAGGCCCCTTAATACTCGTTTACCGGTAAGTACTTCAGTTCACTATATTCTTCGAGGTAGTTACATATGATGAAATTATTAATGGCTAATTCATTATCGTGTTCAATGCAGCAATGGAACGGGCAGGATACACTCCCTACAGCTCTGTATATCTGGACGGAAGCAGAGTTAGTTAGAGGGAATGCGAAGCGCAAGTACAGAAAGTACACGGACGGTCTCGACGTCTTGACACAGCACCAGGTTATGCTCTCTTTACTATCATACATGTGTCTTGTTCGATGTACACTATATCACAACCTAACTCAATTACGAAATGTTCAGGTGCATTGGTGTCATTGGGATGCTCCGGAGCTCGAGTACTATCTGAGTCCTACCACTAGGGATGAGTCAAACAACTATCACTGCAACGTTTCTCTTATTTTCTTCCACGTAGTTGAGATTCACTTGCCCATTAGGGTCTGTAGACAGTTTGGAAGAATGACATGCTACCCACCACCGCTTTACTCCACAAACCAAAAATTGCACGGGTGCGTTATCGATTAATAACAAAGCTACAATTCAAAGGTGTGTGTGGTACAACTAACATCGTTTTGTTGCAAGTATGACCGTAGAAAGAGGTACAAGACCAAGGATTGGCGCGTGACACACAACACGTACATCCACTTGTGGCAGAACAGGGAACGACAGCCGGTCCATGCGGGCCCCACATGACCAGCACACCTTCGACGAGTACCTGCAGTGGCTTCACATGTCTACGAGGACACATATCAAGCCCCCGTACACTGAGGAGGCAATTGATGAGGACTCGGAGGAAGATGTGATTGAAGATGTGTATGACGTTGCCACTAGGGAGGACACACAACTACAGAGAGCCCCACTTCAAAGATACGTGGTAAGATACTCGAATGGTACAATTTGTTATCCATTTGGTATTAAGTATGTGTACTAAAACTGTTCAACCGTGTTTCTATACCCAGGCGACATAATTGTCAAGGAAGTCCAACGAAGCAGCATTTCGGCTTCACGAGTCTAGAGGGCAGGGGCCAGGAGTTCTCGAGGCTTTTGTGGAGGTAAACATAAACTTGTCCGTTCTGAAAATGTATCTTTAGTGTATATGCATTTGGGAAATACACTAACTTTAACGTCTATTTATGCAGAAGGTGAAGCGGAGCTGCAGGAAGCTAGCTCAGAAGCTGAGCTGCATGGACACTCCTTGGGTGGAACCGGTAGTCCCGGCGTGGTCGAGTGGCATGTCTTCTGGCTCTTTGAGGACATCAGCCAGCTTTTCTCAGCCGGTGATAGGTGCCACTTCCGTAGTGCGTACAGCACCACATCATAGCGACGGGAAGGACCCTGCAACCGAGGACGACAATGACGACGACGACGACCCCCTTGGGCTTCCGCAGACAGCACCACCAGTGGGACGATTAGCCGTAGGACGAGATCGGCATGTCTTAGCTAGGTGGTGCCCCGCTTGGTACCCAAGGACCCTCATATGTAGTAACAAAGGTAGTTTCTTTAAATACGTAGGCTCCATAAACTAACGATCATAAAGATTATAAGTAATCGTGCATATCATATACTTGCAGGGTACGAGCCGTATGCACCGGCAATGCGACCACACCGACGTTGGCTACACTCCCAATGTGTTGCCAACAAATCCGAAGAGACAGAGGCGTC